TAATAAAAGACCAGTAAATAAAAAATTCCCAAACAAAAAATTAAGTAAGAAAACAAATAAAAAATCTAACTTAAAAGAACGAACACCACCGAGAGAATTACAGAGACCAAGAATAAGAGAAATGGAAATTACTTCTGTTAACATTATAGACTCCCGAGATCACATATGGATGAGGAATGACAATATAATATACTTTATAAATACAAAGGGAGATCCGATAGATGAAATAGGGAAAGAATTAATTGATAGAAAAATATGCCAGAAGCCGAAGAATTTTAAAGGAATAATAGGACATGTGTTAATATCAGAAAAGAACAACAAGAAAAATTTTGGAATAATAATTAAAGAAGAATTAAATGATCAAATTCAAGAAAAACATGTAGCGCAGGGATTTAGAGAATTAAAAAACGAAATGATGCGTTTAAATATTTCACATGCGAGCCTATCTGAAAACAATAGCGATATAAAAATACCATGGTTCAGAATACGATGCATTATAAGACTTACATTTTTAAATACAGACATTCAAATTACTGTATGTAAGGGCCAAGTGTGCATACCCGAGCTCAAGGATAGACCGCGTATCATACGTGAGTCCCACGAATCCAGTGTCGGAGGACATAAAGGAATCGCAAAAACAGTGGCGCGGATACGTCATAAATATTTTTGGGAAAATATGAAAAGTCAAGTTGAAAAATTTATTCAAACCTGTAGTAGTTGCCAAAAGAAAAAATTAGTACGCGTAAAGACTAAACAACCGATGATTATAACCGACACTCCTGTAGACGCATTTGATAAAGTTGCTATGGATATATTAGGGCCTTTGCCTATTACTGATAATGGTAATGAATATATTTTAACAATTCAGGATCAATTAACAAAATATTCAGTTGCCGTACCTCTTGTGCAAGCGAACTCAGAGGAAATAGCAAAAGCATTCACGCGTAGATTTATTTGTCAATTTGGAAGTCCCAAAGCAATTTTGACGGATCAAGGTTCAAATTTTACTAGTTCAATGATGAAGAAATTTGCAAAATATTTTAAAATAAAACAATATTGCACAACTGCTTTCCATCCTCAATCCAATGGCTCGTTAGAAAGAAGCCACCATGTATTGACCGAATATTTGAAGCATTACATAACTGATGAACACGATTGGGATAATTGGCTCGAGCATGCTATGTTTTCATATAATACTAGCGTACATGAGGGAACAAAATTTACACCGTATGAATTGGTATTCGGCAAAGCCGCACGATTGCCATCTGAAATAAAGACAGAAAATCCGGTAGAAACGTATGACGATTACGTGAGCGAACTTATTGATAAATTAACTGATCTAAGAAAACTAGCTGTGTCAAATTTAGGGTTAGCCAAAACACGTTATAAACACTATTATGATAAGAAATTAAAAACACAAACGTATAAAGTAAGAGATTTTATATATTTATTAAAACCTAAAAAGAAAAATAAGTTCGATGACGAATATACAGGACCGTATGAAATTGTGGAAATCCTACAAAATAATAATATTAAAATATTAATTCCACCAAATAAAATTAAAATCGTACATGTAGACCGAACTAAACCTGCTCGGATTGCAGATCAGGGATGAAGGAAAAAGAATACACAGTTACTGGTTTAAAAGATAATCCTGGAATATTTTTCGAGGCCGTTGGAGAAATGCGTACGTCCGAAAATTCTTGGAAGATGATAATCTACATCGACTTGCGCGATATTAAAGGTGCAACGGCCAAACTCGAACAGCAAATGGACTCAATATTACAACAATGTGGTGATCACAATTCACATTGTGAAATACGACCACGATTGACTTCATTAATTGCCAAATTGAATAAGATAAAGCAGTATCAAGATCATATACGCGCACTCATAGGAGAATCCCGCACAAAACGAGCTCCCTTGGAATTTGTTGGACAACTTAGCAAGATATTATTCGGAACTTTAACCATCGAAGACGAATATGCCATGCGTAATGCAATAATGCATGTAGAAAATAAAACTAACGATCTCGCTTTGCTACTCGTGAATCAAACTGTAGCAACGCGAGCGCGTTTCGGGGAACTGTACAACGCCACATGGGAGATAAGAAAGCAGCTTAGCGCAATAGAAATTAAAGCGATGTTAAATCAAAAGCATCGATATTTTTGGGAAGTTATGACAAAACTGGATACGGAAATATTACAACATGAAATAGATTTAAATATTCTGATCGATGGAATATTATTCGGAAAGCAGGGATTCATCCACCCCCGTTTAATTTCACCGCAACAATTAATAGAAAATTGTAAGTTAATAAAAGAACAGAATCCTCATGCAGAATTTCCGGTAAGTACTGACGAAATCGGAATGGATCAACTTATAAAAATATCCAACTTACGAATTGCCTATTCCGGAAATCGATTGATTTATATTCTGCATATTCCATTATTGATTCCTGGAATATATAAAATGTATAGAGCCGTACCATTACCTGCTAAACAAGCATTTGATGAAACAAAATTCGCCATAATTAAATCTGACGCAGAACATATTGGAATAAGCGAGGACACCGATAGCTTCTACGAGTTCCGAGAAGGGGAACTGCGAGAATGTATATCGTCCAGCACCATATTTATCTGCCCAGATATATTTCCTTTGAAAAAGATACGGCAAGCGACAAGTTGTAATATTCAACTCTTACTAAATAAGAATATAGAAATGGAATATTGCAACATAGTATTACAAAACCTACGAGAAACATACTGGAAAGCCTTAACTGCACCCGGAAATTGGATATATACTGCAAGGAAACGAGAAATAATTCGTATAGAATGCCAACAAAGCAACCAAGAAGAAATAAGTAATTCTGGAATTATTTCCATACGCCAAGGATGTAAAATTAAAGCAGGGACTACTACGATGAGCCATCCATCCGTTCATTCTATAGAATTCGTACAGCATTATACTCCAATGAACAACCTAAGCATTTTACAATTGTACGAGCCTATCCGCGAAAAATATCAAATCGACCTGGCAGAAGCGACAAGCGAATTATGAACGATGAATAATAGCCACGTATCAACGACTTTTGATGACATCATTGAAAAGGCTCGCCAGATCAAGGATAGACGGATGCAAGAACAAAGACTTATTACCTACAGTGCAGTAGGATGGGGCATGAGTGTTCTCGGAATACTTGTGGTCATCGTCTGGATGATAAGCAGGACTTCCTGGATCAGCAGTACTGCGAATTTACTTTATGCCCGATGCAACCGTAACAAAGGAACCAAGGGACCTACCCCTTGCTCCTCAGTAGAGAATAAAAGCCGAAGCACCGAGCCCGAATCCGAACAGTCTGACTCAAGAACAGCAACGCTCCAGTATAATCTACGAGAAGAAGCACAGGAAGCAGAGACGCACTGACGACTTGAGGAAGCACAGCAATAATTCGATGAGAAGGAGCAGCTATTCTACCAATCATTATAAACGTTGGCACAGGATATTGGGACGACTCCGCCGGATTATTTTGACCATGCCTGGAATCGACGAAAATCTACCTATGGACCTCAGCGCAGCGCAGTCGTATCGACGATCGCCAATTCCAATGCAGCGAGGACCACCGGAGCGCGACACCAGATCTCCTGGCGTCGACGTCCATCCCAACATGGACCGTGACTGGCCCGGCCCAACTGATCCTGAGGTCTTCGCCAGACCTCAGCGTCCGCCGACACCGGCAAACACCATCTACGAGGTGCCGCGAATGTCAGTAGCATCCGTGGAAGCAGCTCTCACCCCCGGAATGGAGAATTTGATCGACGAGGTACTCGACGAGATCAACCGTGAGTCTCCCGTCGATGACAGCCTGGGCAGTGAGGTGACAGGCACCGTCAGACTGCCTGATGTCTCCAGACCTTCGCCTCGTTACGCCAACATCCCGGCAACGCAGACGAGCCACGAATACGTGGCAATGGGATCATCAACACGAGCGGAAGCATGCAGCAGCCGTGGGTCGCGTTCTCTGAGCGGCCTGAGTACATCAATAAGCAGCCCGCTTGCCTTAGGAGGATCATGTGGATCATACGATCACCTTGCTGAACCTGCAAACCGACATCATATAATAGGTGAGCGCCCTATGCTTCCCATACCGCAGGGCTCGCCACCCCCTCCCACACAACCACCACTATCAATACCGATTTATTACCGCGATTATTCAGATCCACTTGTACGACCGGCCTATGACTTTATATGTCACTCCGCGTGGTATGCGCAAGTCGCGGCAGAACTCGCGCTGTGTGCGGATTGTGCAACAAGCGAACACACATTCTGCATTTATAACAGACCAAACGCCGTATGGCGACAGCTACACCTTCTTTCGCGAACTTTCGTCCATACAACCCTACATTGTGGGCGATGTTACAAGTTATTAATAAAAACTAAACGCGCGATTGATTGTCATGAGTGCCGCACCACTATAATAGATTTGCACGGACGTACCGAACATTTGACTTATCAAGTTCTATGTGAGGCGGTTATTCCTCGAGGAACACGTTAAGCAATATACGATACAAAACATTTGCTAAAAGATATAATGCTATTATATCTTATATATATACAAATAACCTATATGTTATACTTTTAAACATGCTTATCGAATATTTTGCGTTATATACTTATATTTTACTTTATAAATTACCACTTGATTTTCTTACAGTGTACTGCTTAGAGGGAACTGTCTTATTATTAAGCACATTTATATTAGTGTTAGGACTACTCCGAATAATAAAATAAACATTAGCGAGCGACCTTACTATAATACTAACCTCTCAGAAAATATTAACCATACTAACATTTATTATATGTACATGGTGAAGGGATCGAAATAAAATATTAAATTTTATACAATTAACATATGATTATACTTAATGAGCACGGTGATTCTCATTCATATATATATATATATATATATTCATAAGATTATAAAATAAGATTGAAATACTTATCCTTTATCCTTATTAATTCAGTCTCAGCTCACTATTACCTCTTATCACCTATAACAATAGCGAAATATATTAATTACTGCACTCTTATAAGATAAAACCGTTATATATAATCAATAAATAATTATCCTTACAGAGCTAAGCAAAATGTCAACGACAAGCCTTATGCTAGAAGTAAAAAGACTACGTAATTTTGCTTATCGCCTGGATTTAGACGAAGCTAAGGAAAGAATACGCGGCAAATACTTGAATATATTTAAACAAAAATAATAAAAAATAAAAAAAAAGGGAGAGACTAAAATTATATAAATAAATGTAGTAACGATAGAAATATAGCATTAACTTACTTTTAATTTATCCTTATCATATCCATCCAACGAAATCACGGTGACAGTATAGATAACCAGCCCTATAATAAAATAAGAATAACCTATATTAATAAATATCCTAATAAGTAACATAAGGAATGAACATTGAAAACAAATATGCGCGTCTATATATGTATGCAAGTACAAATATACACGTGTATATGCCCAATAAAATAAATAAAAAAAAAAGGAGAGAGAAGAGAAGAAGAAAAAATATATTACTAATCAAATCTATAGAACTACTTAAGCACATTGCTAAACAAATGTTTTGTCAATGGAACTATTACCTCGATTTAGATAAATCCAACTGCAGCAACATAGCTCTTACATTGCCACACACATTTTAGAATCTGGTAATAAAAATCACATAAATAATTAATTATCTATAAATATAATCATACTCTATACGACATAACCGTAAAATTATATTTACTGATAAAAGTTCGGGGACCGAACTTCCCTAAGGAGGGAGATGTCACGTCTGACGGTATAATCACCGCTATATTCCACCCGCATAAATTTTTCGATTTTCTACCTTCATTGCTAGAAGTCCCCAGCATCTGAAAACAACATTATAATATAACAATCATTCTTTAAAATAACTGTCACAACAATCACTCAGCTGATGCGAACACGCGTTCTTAAAGTAGTAGACATAAGCCTAGAGAACATGGCTGCCTTAAGGTACCCTTTCAAGCTTAAGCCCCATTTGCATGAATCACACTATAAACTTTTGGACAATTGCTTGTTAAAATCCCCCAGAGTCACTAAAATTGATCGTAAATGAATATTACAAACTTTATGAGATCTTTTATGCAATACAAATTCAATTCAACACACGAATAAATACATGTTCCATAAGAATAAACTCAGAAAATTGAAATAAAATATAAATGAATTAATTAAAAATAGATTATTCATAAGAACATAACCTTTTCTGCCTGAGAAACATTATCACGCTAAAATAGTAATTATCTCATTAGCATTTTTTCCAACATGATTGTTATAAACAATTAAATTATATTATTAACAGACCTAGTTAGTGTGATTACTAGAACTATCACAAAAAGTCAAATAACTTTTGATTATAAACCATTATTGTATCTCTCAAAATAAACTAATTAACAATAAAATTTATCATAAAAATATTATTAAAGATGATAAATAAAATCACTACAGATACCCAACAGAGCATGTCAAGTAACCTAACAAAAACCCCCACATTATATCTCTTCTTAATTCCAAGATATAATTAAAAATTATGGAAATCCATAAAACACAGAAATTTTAAACAACCTAAAATAATGCCTTTAATTATCTGAACACAACAAAAGAAACCCCATCTTTTTATCTCTTACCGTTCTCGAGTTATAAATTATTAAAGTTTCACATCCGCCATTTTGAATTTCCTACCCTTTAGACTTACAAAGACCAAATCATTTTTACATTAATATTTTAGTGTTTTATACATTTTAAAGCTGAAAAATTTCATTTCTAAACAAAAATTTTGACATTTAATTATTATGATAAAAATGGAATCTCTCCTACTCCTAAACACCAGTAACGTTAACGCCGATTTTTTATTTAAATTAATTAAACTATTAAATGAGATTTAAATTGAACATTCACTCCATGAAAGACGAGGATAGTTTAATACCAGT